AGCCTCTAAGAAGAGAGAGAGTCTCAACAGGACCCAGAAGAAGCAAGTTCCCAAGTACTGTTGGGTACTATGAGAAGTGAGGACGAGGAGAGAAAGGTCTAGAAGGGGGACTAAAAGGCAGGAGGGGTCTGTTTCTTTTCCAGACTGCTGTCCTAGTCTGAAAGAAGACCCCAGACCCCAGGGAAATGCCCAGCAATTCCCTCGAGCCAGGGCCCTGAGTCTCCTGCCTTGTAGTGTCGGTTGCTGGCTCTGCTGGTAGAGGAGGCCACATGCCCTCTGTCCACTTGGCCCCAATCCCACTTCACTGCCTTGGAGCTGTACCAGGCGTGGTTGGACTTACTTGGTTTGCTTACATGTACGTTGTGTTTTTACTGGTCATGCCTATTAAAAAAAATTTCCCCACCCCCTGCCTACCTAAAATGTGTCAAAAAAACAAGAGTATTATACATTGTATAATTGAGTACTGGTACAGAATAGTGCTTAAGAAATATAAGTACAAGTAAGCAAACGCCACTAATCATAAATACTAATTTTTTAAATGTTTCATTCATAGCAGTTACCTGTGTCTTCTGAGAATGAACTGCCAAATGAAAGCGAACTTTCCATATAAATTAGCAGTTTTCCAATGCTTAAATACTATCAAAACCCTACCTCACCTGGTATAGTAAATAATATGTCTATGTCCCAGTAGAAAATCCAGAAAGACCAGGGATTAAATAAATCCTTCAGGGGCATTATCTACCATCTGTCAAGCTTCTCGTCTGTTAGAAGAGGATGAAGTCACTTCCGCAGGTTGGTGACATGGGCAAGGACCTCAACTAGACCACACTAGCTGCTCTCGCATCAATTCTGGCTCACAGTGATCTCATGTGTAGAACTCTGCTCACAGGGCTTTTGACAGCTGATTCTTATTCTGAAATAGACCCTCAGGCTTTTCTTCCTAGTTCTTCTCAGCTTGGAGGTCCTGCTGAAACCTGTTCTACATCGTTGCTTTGTGCCATCAAGTGGGAACCGACCCACAGCTGACCCTCCAGTAGGCTTTCAGAGGCTGTAAATCACACAGGAGGTGACTGTCCATCATAGCTACATGCCAGCGTCCACTGACAGAGAGGTGTTGGCACAGAGAGATGCACTGGGCAGGAATTGAATCTGGGAGTCTTGGTGGTGCTATGTCTAAAGTGCTGGGGCTTCAGTAAGGGTCTCTAATTTGAGATTGTAATTATTTATATGAAGCCATTTTAATTGGTTCTAAAACAAAATGCCTAAGAATGATTGAAAAAAAAAATGCATTATGATCTGTAAACTTTCAATCAAATTAAAAAAAAAAAAATAAAAATGCTGAGCTGCCAACTGAAAGGTGAGTTATTTGGACCTACCAGCCCCTCAGGAGAGATGGGGCAGCCTGCTTCGGTAAAGATTTACAGCTGGCAACCTTGTGCCTAAGTCAACTTGATTTGGGTTCTTCTGCATAGAAGGTGAGATTCATACCACTGAGCTGCCACAGCCCTACCTTGTGCTATCATCAAGAAGATCCAAAGATTGATTTTTAAGATGTAAATTTTTGTTGTTATTGATACACACAACAAAATGCATATCAGTTCAACAGTTTCTATGTGAATGATTTAATGACTGGGGTGTCAGAACTCTGAAAATTATTTTTTCTAGCCACTACATTAACCTCATTGAGAACTCAGGTCTCCAGCTACCTTTACTGTAGACACATGGTCTTACAAATCTTCAACAGCTGTGGGACTAATATAAGAGAGTGTTTTCCACACTGTAAAAAACAAGGATAACAGTGGTGCAGTGAAGATGAAGAGACTGTGGCAATGTGTAACCAGAGGAACCCTGGAGATAAACGCCACAGTTACAGGTTTTCCTTGCTGGGTGACTGAAGGAAAAGTTGACTTGTGACTGCTCTGACACAAAGTTTGTTATTATAAATATCAGAAGCTTCTTGCACTAGTGCTGCTGTTGAATTGAATCTGGACTTTTGATTAACTGAGGAATTGTGTCTTATTAATCTGGCTTGGGACTGCTGGACTAACTCTGAGCTTGTGAAATATTCTATGCCTCCCCCATTCTTCAATATATTTCCCTAATAAACCCCACATCTGTGATTAAGTCTGTGAGTCAATTTGCAACAAACATTGAACCCAATGTTTGGGAGAAATCAGTGTAGGATCATGTGAGGTGACATGTGTGACCACGTAGTTATTTGTATGGTACTATCGATGCTATTGATGGGGAAAGTTCACTTTATGAAGTGGGCAGAGGTCAGATTCAGGCACCCTCGTTGCAACTGATCCTTGTACAATGACACTGACAACACTCTTCGAATTGTGTAACCATTCTCACCTTTTTTTTCTGAGTTGTTCCTCTCTAACATTAATTCCCTGTCTTCTAAGGGTTGCTATGAGTCAGAATACATCAGAAGGTAGTGTGCTTGGCTTTAAGATTCCTAAGCTTGATTTGTAGCATTTATCAAAATTAGCAAGGATGTAACTATAATTTGTAAGATTTTTATAACCATAAACAAGTTAATCCAAATTTTCCCTATTTGAAGAGAATGAATTTCTTTCTAAAAAGAATCCTAAATTTAAAAGTGGACCTGTAATTATAAATAATGATACAGATCCATACATCCTGGTATAAAAAAATACCCCCCCACACACACAAAAACGTTTAGTAAGTAATATACAGGATATAACAGTATGTACACTCAAAACCCAAATTTTCACTTAAAGACACTAAGATGAATTGCTCACATGGAGATGACTAATGCCATACTTATTATTTGGTGTTTTAAGCACACATAAGACCTGAGTTTACCATGAAGGCAACAGGGGAAAATAAAGGGGAAAAAGTCACTCACATAAGCAGGTCTTCACAGCTCAAACCAGTATTGTTCAAGGGTCAACTGTAAATTATACATAAATTTTCAATTGCAGGGGAGACCAGTGACCCTAAGCATTATATGATGGGTATGCATACACATACACACACACATCTCCATAAACATACACCTATCAGGGGAGAAGGTGGCTGAGGGCAATGGCTCCTTCCATTATTTCCTGTGCTTTTCTGTATCTCTTCCTCCACCTCAGTTTTATTTTTACACTTGATCTTAGCCAAAAGGCCAAGAAGCGATTCAGTTTTATTTTTTAACCAGAATCCCTAAACCTCTATCTCACTTCTATCAAGTTGGTTCTGATTCAGAGCAACCTTCCATCAGGTAGGAGGACACAGACCATCTTTTTCTCCTGGAGCCACTGACAGCTTCAACCCAGTAACCACATGGCCTTTTAGTTAGCAGTACAACTTGCTATAGACTATGCTAAGAGCATTCTTGCATGGAATACTTGCATAATCAGAGTTTTTAAAAACAACAGAGCTGTACATTTGCTTAGAGACATCTCTGGGCACACCTTATCCTATCCAGACATTCATTGAGAAAGCACCCAACAGATTTCAGAGTTGGGAACTCTACTGAAAATAGTAACTCTGGTAGAGACACTAATATTTTGCATCTATCCAGTACTCCAAAGAGCACGAAGTACTTTCTTAATGCCGACTCAAGTCTCAAGAGTCTAAGACCTACTTGCCCAGGTCACAAAGACCATAATTAAAGGGCAGAACCTGCATCCCAACTCGCCCACCACAGAGGTCAGCCTCTGTCCAGGCCCTTCCTTCTGCAGTGACTTCCCTCAGAGCCGGTCACACTGTTTCAGTAGGCAAGGGAGGCCACTGAAAATCACTAGGGTATTTCACAAGCAAAAACCTCAGAGGATGGAATCTGTGAAGCAATCGTTTGATTATTTAAAGAAATGCTCTCAAAATTGCTATCTTACTCAGATAAAAATAGAAAATTTGGCCATGACTTTTCAAAAATGGGCAACATATGAAAAGCCAAATTAAATGCTTTGTCATCTTTTAAAAGATTAAATATTTTAGCACATGTTAGTTTAGCTACTAGTCTGATGTACTTTAAAGAGAAAATAAAAGTTACACAACTGCTTTGAAAGGTAAAGTAATCAAAATTAACGGAGACCACCTCTACCACCTCAGTACTCACTCCCAGGAAAAATACATCCCAAACCTCCACTCTGAGTACAAACTGCACAACTGCTGCACAGCATTCTGCGCTCCTTGCTATTAAATGAGTTTGGGAGGAACTTTCGAACAAGTGGCTTGGAATTTTCTACAAATACAGCACATCAAACACTACTGTTAACATTTTAAAATTAATACTTTAGAGTATAATTGCATCCTGGTTAAAAATCAAACCACAAAATGTAGTCTCTAAATACTAAAAAGAATCTGTGTTCAATATCCAAGTACCACATGACTTCTATAAACATGATTTTCTCACACAGTGCATTTCAAAAAGCTCTTTTCATAAAATTTCCTTTAACGTTTGGACCAAAGGAAACGGAGAAAGTCCTAAAGGAGGCAAAGCACTCCTGAACCTTCCTTTGCAGCTGGCCAGATGAACCGCCCTCAAGTGCACTTTTCTGGGGGTCTAACCGTGTCCATGAAAAAGACTCCACACTGACCACTTCTGTGCAGAAATGGTATTAGAAGGCAACAAAAGGTAAATTCTGTAAATGTTACAAAGTGACCTGAATTTTGGGTTAACCAAACTTGCTTGTTTGCTTAAACAGCTTCATTTTACAGCAACATCTGAAGAGTTAAATGGATTAACAAACAAAGTACATACTTTTAAAAGAGAGGAGAGACCTGTTTTTGTGTGGCACTTTGGGGAATGTTTGCTCCTTGCAGGCTAAGAAAATACGAAACCATGAAACAACGTAACTCAAAGGCTGCCCCCTGGGGAGTTAGTCTCTGCGGGAGTTTCCCTTGACTCTTGCCTAGTCCAACTTCCAACCAGCATCCAGGCTGACTCCCCAACTTCACACATAAAACATGGACAGAAGCTCCATTGAGAAATCGGGTCAGCCCTCCCCATGGCTTTTTAACTCCTTTGCAGTTGCACTGACCTGGTTGGAAGCAATTTCCTGGGTTCCACTCAAAACCTTCTGTGGACATTCTCCCTCCCCTGCTGGGGAAGACACTTCCTTTGAGGACCCCGGTGTGGCAGAGCCCCTGGTCCCAGGGCTCCTCCTGAAGGACCACCGCTTGTGGGCAGCCAGCAGGGTCACATGTGGGTCACTCAGAGTGGCCAGGACAGACTGTTCAGGGATTTGAGGTCTCTCGTCCCCGGCTTTCTCCATTGCTGTGTCCACCGGCAGTCAGTTTCCTGCTGAAGTAGTTTCAGCTCTGATGTCCGTCAGTTTAGGAGTAACTCCTAATTAGCTGGAGTCTGGCCTCAAGTCTGCCCTCCTGGAGAGGCTGCCAGGGTATTTAGGCTCCAGTGCGGCAGCCCGGTGTGGACCGGCTTCTGTTTATCTACATTCTCCCCACCAATTGGCATCCTCACCCATCACACTGCATTCAGCACTCTAATCTTTGCGCACGGCCCAGGCGCTCGATCGCTGGCCACGACAGACACGGGACGGCTGGCATGTCCCCGAGCCCACAAGGCACGAATCCAGAGTGAAGTCCCGTTTCCTTTTGGCTGCGTGCACAGCTACCACTCCTAGAAACCCAGCCCAGGGGCCAGGGAGGCATGCCACTTCCTTTTCTTACCAATCTGCTAGTGTTTTCTTGGAAAAGCGTCAGCTGCCTCCCCCCCAGCTCCAATGCTGGAGGGATGAGGAACACTTGGTGAGCAAAGCGGTTCCTCAGCAACATGACTTGCATTTTCAAGGTATCGGAAAATTCCGGGTTTCCCCGCAGCTCTCTTTCCATGGACCAGGGGCTCCACTTCAGAAAGAACTGACAGCACAGTCACTGGCTCCTCAGGGTCACCTCTGTTCCGAGCAGAACAGCCAGAACCTAGTGCCAGTGGGAGACCGACCTGTGGCTCCACTTGAGGATTAAAGATCGAGACACACACACAGCAGGGTGATAATCCCCCTCCCCTCCCACCTTCCAGCCCACAGGCTCAGGAGACAGGGAAGGAGGTGGCCTCATCCCTCCTGGAGAGAAAGGGCTCAGGAACCTCTTAATCCTGGCAGCACCCGGTCCTACACTACACCCACCAAGCTGGTGTCCCCCACAGCCAGTGCACCACCACAGGGGAGTCTTGAGGGTCAGAGTCACAACTGCAGTATTCTGCTCACAGTCGACCTTCTGCTTCTTGAGGGAACACTTACTCTGAGCCTACCTCCCCCTCTAAAAACTGCCATCACTGCCTCATAAAAACCTGGCCTCATCTCTCAGATGAGAAGCTGACTGACTCACCCAAGGCTCCTCTTAACTCTTTGCTACCTTCTTGCCTCTTGTTCTACTCTGTAGGGGCACAGGGTATGGAGAATTTCACCTCATCTCTAAATATATCTGAACCAGCTTCTTAGCCTCTCTGAGCTCATTAAAAAAGAATCTGCCTCAGTTTCCAGGAAATGCCATTCAAATCAGCACTCCAACAACAACAAGGACCTGTCCGGCCCAATCTCAGCGTGGGCAGCCACAGGACGGTGGTGCCAGCAGCCCACCACCACTGTCCAGCCCTGTACTGGCTACTGAGCCGGGAGAACCAGCATCGGGGTGAATCGGTGACTGCTTTCTCAGGATTCTGGCAGATGCTGCTGGTCTGTATCTGGCAAGTCTTGTTTTCCTGTTTGCTCAGAGGATCCTGAGCAAAGGTTCTGCCGGCTACACTTCATACTGCACTGACTTCTAGTGAAAATCCTTCCCCTATCCTGCCTTTTAGAATTGCCAATGAGTCAGTCCTGACTGCTGGTAACCCCACAAGCTGGAGCACTGCTCCCCTGGGTCTTCTTGGCTGCAACCTTGGTTACAGGCGGATCACCAGGACTTGCCTCTGCAACCTCACTGGGTAGGTTTGAACCACCAAGCTTCGGTTAACAGTTGAGCACACTCTGTGCCATTCAGGGACCTTCCTTTTAGAAGAAGAATTACTAACATGTTTCCCACTATCCTTGGCGGCACTCAGGATCATCACGCTTCTGCTGTCCTTCAGCTCTAGATGCTTAATGAGGGAGAACGTCTGGTGTCATATGTTTTAAATGATGCTTCTAAATAGTCTACTTTGTTAATGTCCATGAACTATGAAAAGTTTAAATACTGTTTGTTCCAACCCTTGCTCTTCAGTGCTCACCCAGATGGAGAATAAAAAACCATAAAAAGATGGAGCTTTGACTCTCTGCCTGTGGGCAAGGGGGAGTCAGCAGGAGTTTTTAAGCGAAAGCTATGTTATTGTTGTTATGTGCCATCGAGTTGCTTGCGACTCATAGCGACCCTACGTACAAGGGCCTTAAACGCCGTTCTATCCTGTGCCAACCTCACCATTTCAAACGCACTCATTCCCACAGAATCGATCCATCTCATCGAGGGTCTAGGATTCTATTTACTGCTTCGATGTACAGTTTAGACAGGAGGGAGGAGGAGGGATCAGAAGAAGGTGGGGTTCTGGGGATTTCTAGTGGCAGAGAGCAGTGGAGCGGGCTGAAGAAATGAGGGAGACCCTGGAGGTACAGTGACCAGAGCAGGTGAGGGAAGCGGCACCCTAAGGCTGGGGACTCAGGTCTCAGCCTGGCAGACTGGGCACATGGTAACCTGTAAACAGTGAATTCATCTCAGTTCTCAAAGACTCTAGGGTACCTTCAAAACAACCAAGCGATGAGGCCCTTCCCCCACCCAGAGACTCAAGTTCAAACTCAAGCTGTGGCACCTTTCCCCTCCCTTTTCCCTGAGCTCCTGCTTCTCTGTGAAGTCACCTCTAACCGCTTTGGCGACAGGCTTCTCTCCCTTATCTCTGACTTCTAGTTTGGCTTAACGCCAGCAGTCAACCTCTGCGTCTGTCCTCTCCCCTTGATGGCTGCAGTCAGCTCCTCCTGTGACATGTGACTGCTGCCTTGCATGGGCTCGGTTCTGGAAAAGTCTGTGGGCTCCTGGAAGACCAATACCTTAACCTTCACTTGCCCACAGACTTGTCACAGTGATGAGCAAATATATTAAGTAAACACCTGCTAAGTAAAATTGTGCAAGATATGTTATGCTTCCTACCTAGAACCTCAAGTTGTCTTTTTGTTCCCCTTATAAAATGAGCAAAAAATCTCACATATTCCTTCTAAAAATACAGCTCTTCAAGTGTCTCTTCTGCCTCCTGGATGTGCCAGCTCTACCATCTACTTTCAAAACAGAATTTCTTTACATCCTATCAGCCTTCTGCACCTCTTCTGTGGGTCTCTTCTGTACACAAATAAAAAATCCATTTGGTGTCTTAAACAATCCTGTTGCCACTTGAGAAGCCTGGGCCAAAGACAGATGGGCAGCTCATGTTTCTGTGAACCTCCAGGCAGGACAAAGGACCCTATCAGGAGGAGGGACAACTGGTTGAAATCTTTCAGAACAAGGAGGATTACCTCAAACAGAGACTCTCCAGGGGCGGGGCTTCTCAGAAAAAAGACACTTGGTCATCCTCCCACCCACCTTAGCAGAGGAATCCAGGATCCCATTGGCCGGGTAAGGACTCTGAGAACCTGACCCTAAGCCACATGCTGGGAAGCAGAAGCCCAGGCGGTTCCCATAGAGAGATTGTACACAGCATAAAAGGCACATCCACTAACAACACGGCTTCCCCAGCCCACCCTTCACCACGGATGTGGAATGCTCAGGAAATAATAAAACCGAGAGGGGAGAGTTATGTACCCTCCAGTGCTAGAAAAGAGGGCCACAAGGCATCTTCTGCTCTCGGGAGTTTATTAGCAAGTCAGGCAAGGACGGTAGAGGGCAGTATTAAATATTTAATTTTTTTAAAAAATTTAACAGGACTCAAAACTAAGTTCAGCTGCAGGGAGGTGTTGCTGCAAGCCAAAGCTGGGCTGACAGACTTTCTGGAGAAGGACTGCAGAACATGAGGTCTTTTTAGCTTCTCTCCACATGAAGGCTCAAACAGTTCGCTTGCCATAACTTCAACTATTAGCTTGTTGTTGTTTGTTGTTATGTGCCATCAAGTCGTTTGCAACTCATAGTGACCCTATATACAACAGCTCTGAATCCTACTCTACCTTGTGCCAGCCTGCTCTCTCTAACGCACCTACCCTCATTACCCCAGTGACTGAATCAATCCATCTCATCGAGGGTCTTCCACTCCTGCGCTGTCCCTCCACCTTCCCAAGTATGATGTCTCTCTCCAAGGACTGGTCCCTCTTTGCAACATGTCCAGAGTATATCAGGTGAAGCTTCAGAATCCTTGCTTCCAAGGAGCAGCCTGGTTTAACCCAGTCTAGGACAAACTTGTTTGTTCTCCTAGCAGTCCCCGGTATATCCAATACTCTTCTCAAGCACCATAGCTCAAAGGAATCCATTCTCCTATCACCCCTAGTCATTGTCCTTCTTTCTGATGCATAGCAAGTAACTTCGAAGACTATGGCCTGGACTGGGTGTGACTTAGTCTCCAAAATGGCATTGTTGCTTTTCAGTAGGAAAATACACAAAAAATACCAAGATAAGCTCATTCCTAGGAGTGCTCTTAAATACAACTGCCCCTGGCTGAATACCCTTGAATGAAAAGCATTAAAACAGTTTTAAATGCCAAGGAGACCTAATGGAGCCAAAATGAGAAACACTGAAGTTACAAAAAAAAAATGCAAAGACCTGTATTTCTATTTTACAGTTCACTGAAATACTTCCTTGGCTATTCCGATCATCTGGCAAAACTCCATCAGCAGATAACACTGAGCTTCAAGCCCCTCCATAACTGTCTTCTTCAGCTGAGCAAGGATGGAAATGAAGCCTGCCTCCAGGTCAGGTGGCCTCCCGGATGCCTGCCCACTCCCTGCCCACTCAGTCCTTCCTCTCCGAGACCTCCTCCTCTCACCCCTCACTCTCAGCTGATGATTCTGCTTCCTGCTGCTCTGAGGACAGACATAATCAACCATCCCTTACTCCTTACTCGCACTGGTGCCCACACCCCCCACCTTCCCCGCCCTTTCAAGTCATCCCAACCTTCCGGTTTCCCTTCAGCCTTCCTGAAAACTCCTCCTCAGTGCTTTGCTTGCGTCTCTGTCAGTCTAATGATTGGGACACCGCGCTCCAGTGGCTTTGGGTCACTAAGTCTTAGGTCCCTCCTCTGCTGTCTCACTCCTTGCTGACCTCATTCAGTCCAGTGTAAGGACTGTCTGCTGTCACGACTCCCCAGACACTG